TTTTTTACTTATGTAGGTTACTTGCAGCACGTCCGTCAAACATTGAGCGAATCACTCAAACAAGTTCTCAGCAAAGTTACTCTGTTAGAGATGAGTTAGACAAAGGAATTGTAGAGTTCAAAACTATTAGGGATTTAGTTTAGTGCACGCAAGTGAGTTTAATTAACTTTGTCAATTATATGTACTTCATGTTTTCTGTTTTGCATTAACAATAAACTTTTGTTTTTTTTAAATAGGAAAGTAGTTGTTGGATTGCTGCAGAATTGGTAAGTTTGGAACTTGACCGGGGATGGTCATACTTGGCATGCAACAAGTGTAGTCGAAAGGTTGATAAAGTTGAAAATACATATATTTGTAAGAAATGCAATGAAATCAATTTTCATGTACTCACAGGTAATTAGTATCTATGTTTATTTAAAATTTTATATATTAAAAAAAATACCATAATTTTAATCAAAATTGAGTTGCAGGTATAGGCTTCAAGTACGAGTTATGGATGGAACCGCTTTTATCTCATTGTTGCTTTGGAATCGAGAGGCTATGCAGCTTATAAGGAGGTCCGCAAAAGAACTTAAGGAAAGCTCCCTTGAGGTATACTACAAAACTTATTTTGATTAACTATAAAAATACTTCTAACCTATGAATTTTGGTGTAGAATTTACTTGCGGATGCTGACTGTTCTTATCCAAGTGAACTGGACGCTATTCTTTATAAAAAATTAATATTCAAGGTTATTGTTAAGCAAGAGAATATTGAGTCGCAGGTCGAAGTATACAAAGTTCTTAAGCTTAGTGATGATGATGACCTTTTAAAGGAATACGGTCACAGTTTATTCGAAGACAAAATCAGCGTAAATTTTTTTACCTCACAAAACTCGTAACACAAAATTTAAGTATAAATACTTTTCCACTCATTGAATGAATGTTCTATTTAATTTCTGTTTAACAGGATTCAAAATGTTTTGATGGACAAAGCTCAAGTGGAGATAAGCTTTTCGGGGTAAATTCCATGAAATTTTATGGTTTAATAGCATTATTCATTTGTTTAACAATTATAGTCAAAACTATGCAAGTAACAACTTTTTAGCTCTACAACTGGTATTAAATTTTTTGGTTGTTGGAAGGATGTAATGGCCGAAAGTCAGCAGTCTATTTTGCAAACTCCCATCGATAAAAGCGTATCAGAAAGTGGATCGTCGGTGTTAGAAGATGGTGATGCTTGCAATGTAAAAATATGTCCTTTGAAGACGTATGACAAGAAGACTAGATCCGCTAATAAGGCATCAGCAGCAGTACCAGATGATGACTTCAATTCTCAACTATCTAGCAACAAGGTTCGCAAGGTCATAAAGAAAGAAAAGAATCCCTGATTGGTTTTACTGCAATGCGTCTACCTGTGCACTTATATATTTTGTACTTCTGTCGCTTCAATGTTCTGCGTTTTATATGTTATATGGTGAAATGACTCTACCTATGCAACTTCATATTTTCTTTATCAATCATGAGTTGAGTTATTACTTATGTTACATATACCAAAAATTGATGCGATTCTGTTAAAAAACTAAGTGTTGCAGTTGCTAAGAAGCAAATTTATAGGTTGGGCTTTTTGGATTTAACAGATGAGTTTTTGCTAAGACTTAAGTTTGCCATGATGAGTCATTTTCCCGGGAGGGAGGATCGTTTGGTAACAGGTTTTTAGATCCTGGAACGTTTCATGATTTGATTTTGCAATGTGCTGCTCCAATTTTGATGCTTGAGAAGATCGGTAAAAAAGAAAGGAAAAACAATATGCTCCCCATGGTTTCCATCCGTGGGTGAGACAAACCTTTTGGCGAGACTCATGAAACTAAGAGCACTGCAAATCACCTTTTGGCGAGACTCATCAAACTAAGACCCAGTGCAAGGTTGAGGTTTTCGACACCTAGCTATCTCAGTAATTTAAGATGTCTTTGAACTTTGAATGTCTTAAACTGAGATATGGAGAAAAGGAACAAGACAATAAGAGGGTGCTTACTGACTTTGAGTTTGTGACAGAAAAAGGAAATCCCAAGACAAATCGATAATACAATTATCTGAAAAACAAAATAAAAACTATCCAATGATGTCTGTCTGCTTTGCACAATGATATAAATCTGAAATTTGGTTTATTGGATTCTTCCTCTATAATTCATGAACATAATTACGTAAATATAAAAATATGTTCACGGAAAAAACAGATAGGGATATACTTCCATTTATAAGGTTGCACACTTGGAAGACACAATGCGAACTCTTTACCAATAACCATTCAGTCACATATGCCATATAATGGCCAAAGGCTAGGAAGCTCAAATATTTTCGTTATGCTGCCGGTTCTTTTAACTCGTTTTAGCTGCAAAATAAATTGTCAAGTCTATAAATCATGTGCATGGTAAAAGTTGATGAGCAATCAGCTGATTTATATTCCACGTGAGTAGTAAGATGAATGTATTAGCACAAATATAAGAGGCATAAACCACTTTTTGCCGAGACTCATGAAACTAAAGGCACTGATCATGTTGCCCATGGGAAATTAGAATATCAAGGATTGCACAGATAAAGTTTAATCAGAAAATGCACAGAAAGAATGTCTTTGACATAGTCGATGAGATCGTTGTCCGCAAACTAGCTTAAAAAAGTTGTTTATTGCAGAGACGAGATCATTTAAGTGGACAGCAGCTTCTGAAGGAATTGAAGTCAAACATAGACCACCTCAATGCTAAGAAGATTAGCATGGCCTTCAAGATGATGAATTGATAAGTATTCTAAATGCAGATATGAGGCATCAGTCATAACATTGCTGCTCTCACAACCGTTCCATAGAACTTCCATTTCACTTTATTAGGCTTCTGCCGCACTCATCCATTTCAGTCATCCTATTCTAATCCTTTGTATTACATCTTTATTTATCATACTATCCTCCTGACAGATGGAATCTAGATATCAGAATTATAATTAGGAATTGCAGATTGCATCCTAAAAAGCAACAGTTGCAGATGTTGCTTTTACTGCTGGCAATTTGGAGTTAAAGAAGAGATAACGCTATATAATCACGTGAAACTTTCCCAATAAAAGAAAAGATTTTGAGATTAAACAAAGAATGACCTCCTCCAACAATTCCAAAAGTGCAATGAGATTCGTCTTGAATAGACTAAACGGTTGCACCCTGCTTTCCAATCAAGATAGCAGCCTGTGTAGCAGCCACAAGTAGTCTAGAAGAAACTGGTTTCCCAGCACCAGAAGGAGTATTGTTGGAGTCATGATCCACATCAATAATCCGCTTATGGACCTTCAAAAGACCATCCATAGCAGGTGGAATAGAGAGGCTAGGCTCTTCCTTCGCAGATATCATCACCTGCAATTCAAAAGAATGAACAATTCATGGCCAGCACAAAAGAGAGTTACATATGAACATATAACTTCCAACCACTCAGACCATGTCAAACATAAGCTACTGCCTAGAATGTTTTGCCTTGGCTTAGAATTGTAGTAAATTAAACAGAATGCAGAATCGGTGCATTTACTCTGTCAAAACATATGCACATAAGTAGACTGGACGTGTGAAAGACAAATTACCAAGGCAGACAAGTGAATTAGCAAAAGCTTGCAGATACAAACAAGCATGAGAATTGATTGAAAGTGGAACAGCTGTTACGAGATAATTTATCATCCCTTGGCAAAGGATGCAGTGACATTGTCTGTACCTTATTCATGATACATGCCCATTATAAGTCCGCTATTACGTAGGGCATAATGTAATGATCCACTTATGAATACAGCAATACTTTTGTTTTTTACAACCACAGCCTAACTCCTTATAGGCATATCAACTTCTTTTTAATAGACATTTGATGACCCAAGCTTAGCTATTATCCAACTAAAACTTTAATGTAGCAATTGAATTCATGATCTAAGTGTGGGAATACCATTAATTACAAAAAGTTTTACCTATCTATCAATCAAGGTCAATCTTTATTCGCTTCATTCTTATGTCTGTATGAACAAGTGTCCACATTTATACAACCGAAGAGTGCCCATTAATATGCAAACTCATTAGCATACCTCTTTAAGTCTTTTAAGTAGTATGTGTAAGATTTCTCTATAAAGATTAAATGTCATATCTTATTAAAAACCATTTTGCAGTACCTCCCTTAGAAAACAGAGGAATTGTTGGATCTCAGTGGAGATAGTCGGTTAGAATATAAAGCTGCTAGCAGATTTCAGGCAAGTTTCATTAATTAAAACATTAGAATCTTAGTTGATAATTTTTTTTTTCCCATAGTTTATTATAAATGGGTTGCATTGATAACCATTGAGGGGTAATACTACAAGAAATTCAGCTTGAATTTCCACTTCAAAGAACCTATTAAAATATGCACCTGCATATCAAAGCTTTAGCCATGGGAGAAACCATGTTAAACTTTTGAAGCCTCGTGATTTTGAGCTTCATCAAAATATGAACTTGCATATGCAGTAGTTATTTTTTCACATGTGAACGAATACAGTAGTTAGGATATGCAGTAGTTTTATTGTTCAGGGAAGTTATTTGTAATATAAAAAATTAACTTCCCTGCTGTAATTAAGAGAATTTTCTTTTTTCGAGAATAGATACCAAAAACTGTCTGTGCAACATATATTAAAAGAAAAAAAATATTACTTCACTAAAAAGGACTTAAAAAAAACCACTGATAAAAACCTAAAACATGCCTATTTTCGCCAACTACCCTATCTTCTCCAAAGGACTCTACAACTTCTCACACCAATTTCATTTCCTCTCCCCAATGTCCGATCAACCTCCAATATCAACGGCAATATATGAATCCAAGGTTTTCTTGATTCTAGCTTTGTCTACAATACCTTAATTTCTCTTAGGAAATAATGTTGTTCTCAATCCGCAATCTCATATCTGCCGAAAGACTCCACAAAATTTCCACCATAATCTAAAACTTCTCACAGCAAAATCAGTTTGTACGGCACTTTGACATGGAAGAACAGAAGAAACTTGCAAGAAAAAATAGAATATGCGTAAGGAACCAGAAACGGCCTAAATATCCCCCGGATAATAATGGTATGAACTTTTATAATTATTTACTGATTTTCAATACAAAGTCATATACTATTCTGCTTAAATTAATGAATACTTAAAAAGGATCATGACAAACGACAAAATAAAAATATTTATTTTATTTGTCCCTTTACTATAGTATGTGCTCTGTTATTTTCTTTGCGGTAAATTATATTTCTCTTCTTCTAACCTGATTTGTCTTTCTACCTGTCCGTTTATTCTGCCATAAACTTTTTATCACGTCCTTAAGTTTTTTTAACTATTCAACGTTGTGCCATTTATTTGTATATATTCTATTAAATTCATGTCCTTATCGTACGTAGCTTCCTATAGAATAAACAACCTGAACATCTAGAGGGTGATCCTGCCATGCTCGAATGAAGATTTGTTGTATAATTTGTGCTTATATGTACTGTAGTATTTTATAGGGCAACTTTGATTATTATAATAAGTGCCGAGTAAAGATCAGAAAACTTTATTATATTAAGTGCCTAGGATAATTTTATTATAATAACTGCCAAAAATATTTGTCGATTCCTTATACACTTCACTTATTTTCGTGGTATGGAATGTGATGTTTCAGTCTTAAATAGAAAGATTTATAACTTTAATTATGTTTTAGCTTCTTAGAAGGATTATCGTCGGTTTGAACAAAAATTGTTTATTTAAATTTTATATTCTCATTCGAGCTCTTCTTCAGTCTGATTATTCTGGTAATAAGTTTACATTAAAATACTTTTATATCATGCGTAGTTTTACATTTCTTTCAACAATTAGATGCAACTTTGTTGTCTTACTAAGTTGTTTGATTCTGGGTTTGTCAATTTCAAAGCTGCATTCGTTGATATGAATTTTATAGCATTTGTATTTTTTAAGTTATCCTCATGATAAGTTGTGTAGGTGTGTCATCTTTAGCTTTTTGATCGCACGAGTTAGTTGAAAGTAGACAAAATCAACATTTCAAATCAGCTAACGTAGAAGTGAATTTATATTAAAACACGTCATAACATGACATCCCTTAATGGTTTGATAGTTTCCATAACTTTGTTAATTTCTAATTGTTAGTAACTAATTTTTACTTTTATGGTTTACAGGCTTTATTAATCATACTACTATCAGAGAGAATGCTTTTGAAAAGGGAAAAACAAAACAACCATTAATGAACATAACAAATCGTCAAAATTCCACTCCATTATGCAGTGCAGACATAAAGAATTGTGGACACGTTTCATCGTCTAATTCTCAAGCACTATATCCAAATACAATGGCAGACCAAAATTTGCTATGTGGTTTGTCGACTTCAAATTTGCAAACAAATCGTCTTATGCCAGATTTAAATGTGCTACCATTATTGCAAGGTAAATATTTCAGTGAACTTTATGTAAAAACATGAGTCTTTCATAAATTCCAACTACATATTTATTATTACTTATTATTAATTTGAGGATGTAAAAGTTTCTGACGGTGCATCGTCTCTCCATATAAAATATGAGATTGTAATTTATATATTTATACATCCTAAAACCAATTCACAAGACACCAAAAACTCATCAATAAAACAGCATGTGCTACTATTTTTCATTAGATGAACAAATATAAAATGCCCTGTTATATTTCGAAGTTATTAAGATAAACTATATTTCATTTGGATCATATTAACTTGAATTATGTTAGTCCTCTTTAGAAGTAATATCATTTTGAAAAATTAATTATTTATCTAAATGGTATTCACATTCAAACTCTTCTGAAAAACTGAACATTAAGAAATATAAACATTTATAAATTCTTGTCATTATCGTGTGTAGCTTCGTATAGAATAAACAAGACGAGCATTTAGAGGCTAATCTTCCCATGCTCAAACCTAATTGTGATGTATAATTATTTATATGCATACATGTACAGTAATTTAGAGGGTAATGTAAGAGTTTGATTAATAGCTTGATAGTTTCACATATTTTTCTGTCTTCTAAAAGCTAACTAATATTTCATTTTTATGGTTTGTACACTTTGTTGATCCTAATACTATTCCAGGGAGTGCTTTTGAGAAAGGGGAAATGAAACAACCATTAACGGACAAAACAAATCCTCAAAATTCCACCCGACTTTTCAGTACACCCATAAAGAATTGTGGACATGTTTTATCGTCTCGGTGTCAAGGACAATATCCAAATTCAATGGCAGAACAAAATTGGCGATATGGTTTGTCTAATTCAAATGTACAGACAAAGCATCTTCTACCGGATTTAAATGAACCACCATTATTGCAAGGTAAATATTTGAGTTAACCTTTTTTATATGACATGAGTCATTCATAAATATTAACTAAATATTTATTATTACTTATTATTAATTTGATGATGTAAAACTTTGTGACGGTGTACCAGCTCTCCACATAAAATATGAAATTGTAAAGTTATATACTTAAACCTCTAGAGCTTACTAACTGGCCAGCTAAAGCCCTTTTAATTTATTTTTAGTTCAAGCTTTAGTTGCTAACTTTTTTTTTGTGGGATTATTAGAATTTATGTGTGATTCGACCAAATCTGGAATGAAAAAAACCTATGGCAAATAACGGTCGTTTTGTTCGTTTGTGATTATGTTATGCTAATGCATTAATACTTCTATCCAAAACAATTTCTCCTAAGCCCACCTTACTACCATGTATTTATGTGTTTTTCTAATATAATTTATTAGAAATGTCCTACATCTAAGTCGTCGAAATGTCATAGGCTAAAGGAAAATAGTGCAGCGCCTTTGTAATGTTTGTTTCTGAATATATTACTGCATATATGGTAAGCATTACTGCCGTTCTCCTATTTTGATACAAGTGTCTTATGCAAATTTGCTTTAACACTATAATAAAAGTGAAAAATTAATTAACTTTAACTATAAATATCCTTCCTCATTGACATTTGAAGTAATTGTATATTCATGTGAAATGGCTAGATGTTGATATTCAACATATGATTTACAGTTGTGTGCTTTTTAGTATAATCCAGCAAAATCATGACTTTTTAGCATTTTAAAAGTTAAACTTTTATTTGTTGCCTTTTTTTTTTCCTTCTGTTTATTTTCTTAAGTGGAGGACGTTTGTTAAAATTTTATTACTAGGGTTCTGTATATATTTTATTTTTGTGCTTTTACTTTTGAACAATTCACTATGTTAAATGGACCCCTATTATTTCAAGGTAAGTATTCCAATAAACTTATAATTTTGTTTGAGAAATATGAATTATAAATTCTGCTAACTATTAATGTTTAAAATTTCTTTTCAGAATTTGAGGATGTCAATATTGATGGTGATATGCCAGGTATGCTATTAGAAAAATACCACAACTAACAGTCATACATACAACTTTATTAATATTTTATTTTATGTATCAAGGCGATAAGCGATCAAGCTTACAAGATCATGATGAAAATGAAGATGAAGATGTGTTTGAAGGTATGTTGATAGAAACCTAATAATGATCGATTATGCGAAAATGTATTAACAATTCAAATTATTGACTTCTTAATTTTTTTTATTTTATTATTACTATTATTTGTAGAAGATGAAGTCGAAAGCTGGACAATTTTCAATGAAGGTAAGTATGATTGTTATTAAATTTACATATACAACATAATTCAATTTTATGTATCATAAGTATTGTGAGTTTAACCCTTTATTTTACTCTCACTATTCTAGATTACTGGGATATAGGCGATGCTACTTATGAATGTGAATATTGTGGGGCATATTTTTGGTACGAGAAAAGAATTAACAAGAAGTACAAGAATAGAAAACCAGTATTTAGTTTGTGCTGCAATCGTGGAAAGATCAAGCTACCAAATCCAAAAGAGCCGCCTTCAATATTAAAGGAATTATTATTTGGATCAGGTTAGTGTATAATTTTATTTGAATAAAATAAAACAACACGAGAATTTATACGTACATCTTCTTTAACAAACTCTAATTTTATGAAGGTGCAAAAAGTAAACATTTCAGAGAGAATATACGGGCATACAATTCTATGTTCTCATTTACATCAATGGGAGGAAAGGTTGATGTCTCTGTCAACCAAACAAAGGGACCAAGAACATTCAGATTATCTGGGCAAAACTATCACCAAATTGGAAGCTTATTACCTCCACAGGGATCTACTCCAAAATTTGCACAATTGTATATCTATGACACAGAAAATGAAGTAGAAAATAAAATTCATGCTATCAGGTTAGTATTGATCAATTGCTTAATAATAATACTTTAATAATAAATTTTATAAAAAAAAAAATTTTAGTTGAATTTAATATTTTATTCTTACAGTTATTGTGAAAGTAACAATCAGCTTCATGCTGAAATTGTTACTGATTTGAAGCAAATGCTTGATGACCACAATGTTCTTGCAAAGTCATTTAGAATGGTAAGAGATCGATTTCAAGAAGATCGAAGCACAAATGTTAGATAAGATTGATAGGGAAAAGAGGCTCTGATGGAAGAAGATACAACTTACCGACAGTTTCAGAGGTAGCTGCTTTGGTGGTCGGTGATTTTTAACAAATAAGGTCTGACAGAGATATTATTGTTGAAAGCCAGTCAGGACAACTACAAAGGATAAATGAATTAAATGCTGCATACTTAGGTTTTCAATATCCGTTACTATTTCCATATGGTGAAGACGGATACCGAGAAGATATTCCTTTAAATGAAAGTGATGATTCTACTGGCGCAAGGAAATGTGTTAGCACGCGTGAATACTTATCATACAAAATTCAAGAAAGGAAGTCTGAAGTCCCAACAATTGTTTCATCTAAAAGATTATTTCAGCAATTCATGGTAGATGGATATACAATGATGGAATCATCTCGATTAAGGTTTATTAGGCTTCATCAAAAACAATTGAGAGCACATTTTTATAAAGGGTTACAAGATGCTGTTTTACATGGGGATATACAACCTTCTTCTCAAGGACAAAGAGTTATACTCTCTTCCAGCTTTACGGGAGGTGCACGTTACATGTTGCAGATTTATCAAGATGCCATGGCAATTTGCAAATGGGCGGGGTACCCTGATCTGTTTATCACTTTTACTTGCAACCCAAAATGGCCAGAGATTACTAGATTTGTGGATAGTAGGGGATTATCTCCAGAAGATCGTCCCGACATTTTAACAAGGGTTTTTAAAATCAAGCTGGATCGCATACGCGACAATAAAATTTTTGGAGAAGTAAAAGCAGGTATAATTTTAATGTTTGCACATTAAAATTATTATGTTTGCACATTAACGTTATCATATGCTAATATTAAAAATAACTAACATATAAGCTTAATAATCTAATTACATCTTTATTGTTCAGTGATTTATACAGTTGAATTCCAAAAGCGAGGTTTGCCTCATGCACACATCTTGCTTTTTCTTATGAATAAATACCCAAATATCGGAGATATTGATGGAATAATTTCAGCAGAATTACCAGATAAAAAAGTAGATCCTTCTTATTATAATGTTGTTACAAATTTCATGATGCATGGTCCTTGTGGTACTGCTAGAAAATCATCTCCGTGCATGAAAAATGGTAGATGCACAAAGCACTTTCCAAAAAAATTTGTGTCATCAACCACAATTGATGAAGATGGGTATCCAATTTATAGAAGAAGGGATGATGGTAGAACTGCAAAGAGAGTAGGTATTGAGTTGGATAATAGGTATGTTGTACCACACAATAGATTTTTATTAATGAAGTATGGTGCACATATTAACGTGGAGTGGTGTAATCAATCACGATCCATTAAATACTTATTTAAGTATGTAAATAAAGGTAATGATCGTGTCACCGCAGCTTTTTCTCAAAGTGTAAATAATGAAGAATCGGGGGTCGTTGATGAAATAAATATGTATTGTGATTGCCGATACATATCACCTTGTGAAGCTGATTGGAGAATTTTTAAATTCTCAATACACCATAGAGAACCACCGGTAGAAAGGCTATCTTTTCACCTACCAAATAATCAGACGGTCATATTTTCGGATGATGATCCAATTGATGTTGTTGTCAATAGACCAACCGTAAAGGAATCTATGTTTTTAAGCTGGTTTGAAGCTAATAAAATATTTCTTGAAGCAAGAGAATTGACTTATGCAGAATTCCCTCTAAAGTTTGTGTGGAAACAAAACTTAAAAAGATGGGAAAAAAGAAGAACATCTGCATTTTCTATTGGGAGAATATTCTTTGTCCCACCTGGCTCTGGCGAGCAATATTACCTTAGATTATTGTTGAATGTCATTAAAGGTCCAAAGAGTTATGACGATTTAAAAAAAATTAACGGGGTTGATCATGAGACTTTTAGAGATGCATGTTATGCATTGGGTTTGTTAGATGATGACAAGGAATACGTGGATGCTATAATGGAAGCAAGTAATTGGGGAACGACATCATATCTTAGGCAATTATTTGCTATGCTCCTTTTATCAAATTCAATGTCACGTCCAAAAATTGTTTGGCAAGCAACATGGCATTTACTATCAGAAGATATCCTTCATGAAGAAAGAAGAATGTTGGATCACCCAGGTATTTTTTTTTAATGCTTACATTTTCGATTTATGATATGATACTTATGAAGGATGGCCGATTTGCGTAACTTTATTAATTAATTTTCTTTTTACTTACTGCATTCGTATTAATCCAATTGTTCATTATCTTCTTTTTTTGTTTTTCAACTTCATACAAAATTCACTCAACAACTTAATGTTTGTTAAACAATATTTTGTTATGTTGTCTTTTAAAATATTGTTCTGTTTAGATGATTGGAATAATATTGGTACTAAATAATGCACTTTTCAGAAATAAATACTAATTCAAAATTAATGCATTGTGTTTAATGCCCTAAACCTTCGGGAAAGCCTATAATCGTTCTTATGCATTCTCTACTTTAATTGAAAATACTTCGATTAACTTTTTATTAATGTAAAAACTTATTTTTTAAAACAAAATACGAATAATAAATTGCATATTCACATTATTAACAATTTTAGAAAATAAAATCGAGCACATTGTTTTTACAATATTATTACTTCAAATTCTATGTATGTTAAACGTACTTTAAATTAATGTAAACTACTATTGACCACTATAGTTTTTCGTTAATCTTATTATTTATTTCATGAGGCTAAATTAAACTTTACAAACTAATTGTATTTAATTATTTTATATTTTCATGTTATTTCAGAAGCTGACCTAACAGATGAAGAATTGAAAAATCGCTGTTTGGAAAAGCTTGAAATTTTTTTGAAAGGTTGTGGAAGAAGTTTTCAGGATTTTCCAACAATGCCAAGGCCCGTTTATAATACGGACGAAATTGACAACAGTAACAGATTAATACGGGATGAATTGCGTTATAATAAACGTGCTTTGGCAGATGAACATCAACAATTAGTAAAGAATTTGACACATGAGCAAAAGTCAGTTTATGAAAAAATAATAAGAGATGTGAATGAAGACAAAGGTAAATTTTTCATTTTATATGGTTTTGGAGGAACAGGCAAGACTTTTATTTGGAGAACTCTATCTTCTGCCTTAAGATCTAGAGGAGATATTGTGTTAACTGTTGCATCTAGCGGGATTGCATCTTTGTTGCTACCAGGTGGTCGAACAGCTCATTCAAGATTTGTGATTCCTCTAAATGTAACTGAAGATTCAACATGTAATATCAAGCAAGGTACTCCTTTAGCAAATTTAATTATTAAGGCAAAGTTGATTATTTGGGATGAGGCACCCATGATGCATAGATATTGTTTTGAAGCTCTTGATAAAACTTTAAGAGATATTCTTAGGTTTAAAGATGCATCCAATTTACACCGACCATTTGGAGGTAAAACAATTGTTCTTGGTGGTGACTTCAGACAAATATTACCAGTCATTCCAAAAGGTAGTAGACAAGATGTTGTTAATGCTTCTCTCAATTCTTCTTATTTGTGGCCTCACTGTCAACTCTTAAAGNCAATCGAGCTAAGGATGGTCAGACGTGAACTAGTGGAAGTAATGAAACATGGTAATTGCAAGCGTGAAGGAGTTCTCTTCTTTATTGGGGTGTTATTGTCCTAATTGGACGTATTAAGTTTGTTGATGTTATTATCTGCTACAATTCGTCGTATGGCGGGATATTATGAATACTATCGAAGATGCAACCGTCATATATCGCGGGATGCGGTGGTTTAGGATTTAATCAGTGTTTCAAATGTTGACGGTTCGATAAAGATGACCTTCAGATGGGGTTTTAGTCAGTAGCGATTTGTGGATTCAGGTGCTATGAAGATAAATTTTATTAAGACAACGACTGAGCAACAAAAGATGAGGAGGACATATGGGAAGTGTCAGGCAGAGTTTTAAAACTTCTAAAAGGCCAGGCTTAGGGAGCGCAGGCCGAACAGTTGGTTAAAGGAGTGAGTTTGCCCAAAGTGGGAGAGTGGCGGGGCTGTATAGGGCCTAGTAGTAGGATGACTACGCACCTAAGGATAGTTTGGAAGGATCTGGGATTTTAGCGACAGGCAATGGAAGTCGGTAGATTAATTTGAAGCATGGTGTTGTTATACGGCAGGAGATTGGATGTGGCGGAAAGGAGATGCATAAAGTGAAGAAAGGCGTAGCATGACTTTGAAGTGAAGGGATGTTGTCGCACAATTAATGGATGTCCACGAGGGGTGAATGGACTCGTGCAGCTGGAGAGTGAGCTCAGACTCAGGATGGGTTATTGATGTCGTAGTGATGGTACCCTATGCAGCAGCGTTGGAAGATGCCGGGGAGTGATTTCGACAGGTGGGGTATTCCGGTGAGGAGGTTAGCAGTCGCGTGGTTGGCGAGGCTTCTGCGGAGAGTTCTACTGGATATAAAGCAAATGGAATTATTGTGTGAATGGTGTTAATGATTTAGAGTATCAAATTGAGTTTCTACGGTAAGATACCGAGAATGCCAGGGATTGTCGGTGCGAAGGTGGATGATGATTCAGAATATGAAAAATGGGGATTTACATGAGAACTCCGAGAATTTGCGGCGGATGATTGCGCAAGGTTATGCCAACAAGAGATTAAGAATAATGGTGAACTCCAAAGTTTTGTAATAATGGCTTCAAGCTAAGTGGGAGAGTCCCACCGCTTACGATTTGGGCTTCATGGTTAGCTACTTGCGAGGTTTCTGGTTAATAGCATACTGAGGGGTTGTCTCAGCTACGAAAAACTACCTTAAGTAGTAATTTGAGCAGAAAAAATTATTAAAGGTGTGCTATGGTTGGCCTTATGGCTCATGTTCGAACTTGGGAAAGAATTCGGGATTTATGCCTTGTATGGAAGTGGGTTTTAACGGGAGTAATTCTGCTAGGTGCCTCGTCGAGAGGGTATTCCTGTGTTATGAGATCTATGAATCCGATTATATTCGGGACCAAGTCAGAGCGGATGGCTCTCAGTAACGGTCCTAATGGATTCAAAGGGGTAAAGTAGGGTGCTTAATGATTTCGAGCCTATAAGTACAATTAAGAATCAAGCTTGGAAAGCAGCTTATGAGAGGTGGCGCAGAATGTTCCGTGAGGGTTGGCTTGTGATGTAGCAATTGGGAAGTACGAAATGGTTCGTAGGAGTTGAGACAGCATGGTCTCGCGATTCAAGGTCACTCGGGATGAGTGTAGATGGAGTATGATGTGTAGGATGGAGTTAGTATTATTTCTAAGGCAAGCAAGGATAAATTGGAAGGAAAGGGATTGATTAGCCATTGTTAAATTTGGCATGTTGGGATTTGAGATCAGTTCATTCAGCGTGATCAAGTGGTGTGTATGATTTGTGGCGGTACGAGTGAGGTTTTCCGGTCGTCGTAATGGGTGTTATTCAGGAGCCTTCTATTGTTACGGCTTGTTATGTGGGAAACAGATTCCGGAAAGGGTTATGGTGGCTTGGACCACCACTTGCAGAATTGCATATTCTACAGTTATGGGAATTTACCTATGTGTTTCTATGGTTCCCCTGAAGTGAGTAAAGTGCGAAGCTCTTATATGATAAAGTGTTAAAATATTAACGATTTCGGGGTTATGATGAAAATCGTGTTCTATCGTATGTTGGCTGCAGTGAGTAGCATGGAAATTCGAAGTAAGGATCAATGTTGTAGCTTGGACTGGCAAGGATATCACGGGCTCGGACGAGCAAGGAAGTGGTTGAATGATTAAAGTAAATTGGTATCGTCTTCAGCGTCACCTGAGGTCGATGTATTGTGAAAAAGGCTTTGCATCCTGGTAAGGATTCTTGATCACTTTTCAGTGTTAGTGTATCCGAAGCTTTAAACGTACAGACTCGTTATTTATTTCAGAAGATTGTGGGAGCGTGTCCCATGGGAAGATTGTGTAATTGTGGCAGGTTGTCACGACCCCAACCCCGGTCGTGATGGCGCCCAACACACTGCTAGGCAAGCCCGACCATTTACACAACCTTGACCAAATAACCTAGGTGGATAAATGAATGTTCACAAGTAAAAACAGCAATTTAAATGCGGAATCTCTGAAATAATTTCTAACATTCGAAAACCCCAAGATAAAATACTAAATAGCCCACAGATCTGGTGTCACGAACATGAGCCTCTAAAACGGAATATTCACCTATCACAAGTCTGTCTAGGAAAAAAAAATACGAATAAAAGGATAAAATGGATGGGAGAGATCAAGGCTGCGAACGCCATGCAGCTACCTCGATACTCCTGGTTAAATGCTGCTCCGCTAAACAAGTCCTCACTCACCCTGTGGTGTACCTGAATCTGCACACAAGGTGCAGGGAGTATTGTGAGTACTTCCAACCCAGAAAGTAATAAACATAAATAAGGGTTGAGAGTAAGAAATCCTGGACAGGCATAAAGTAAGCTATAATTACAGCTGCTCAATCTAAATAATGTCAACTCAATAAACTAATGAAAACAATTATAGAAATATTACAACAGATGAATAAGTAAATGGCAATCAAGTATGCAATGAAACACATAAAACGGTACCTCCAGTACCCCGCTGCGGCCGTGCAGCCCGCTCCATTTATTTAACGTCGACGGTGCTCACTGGGGGTGTGCAGACTCCGGGAGGGGCCCCTTACGGCCCAAGCGCAATAATAAGCCATCTCGTGGCATCAAACAGGCCCTTGGCCTCATATCAATATCATTATAATACTGCTGCGGCGTGCAGCCCGATCCCATACTCAGTCCAAAAATCACACAATAGTATAAAAATATTCAGCCCAAACTTTACTTAAAATTATTAATTTAGTTTCTGCTTTAAGAAAAATGGCTGAGTTTACAAAACAGTGTCAAACACCAGGACTGAGTTCAGTATCTATAAATATGGTAAGAAACCAGTAAAAATAATCCCCGAAGGATTCAAGTAGTTGGCACGAAGCCCAATTATGACAATTAATCCATTTTTATAAGGATATCACAAAACTACAAACAATTAGGTAGTAATTTTATTAAGCGGGACGGACCAAGTCACAATCCCTGACGGAGCTCTACCCCACGCCCGTTATCCGGCGTGCAAGTCACCTCACATAGCACTACATTGTGCAAATTCGGGGTTTCAAACCCTCAACACAGCATTTACATTTATTACTAACCTCAAGCCGGCCAAGGTCCTAGCTTGCTATGCCCTTGCCTTTCGAATTCACCTCTTCATGCGTCGAATCTGACCAAAACCACAACGACTACGTCACAATATGCTAAGGGAATATAACCCAATCGAAAAGACTCGGAAAACATCGAAAATCACGAAGTTGGCAAAATCCGAGCCCCGGGCCCACGTCTCTAAAAATTACAAAATTCACATCACCGGATTCCTCGTCTCGCCACGAGTCTATACATATCAAATTTACCACAAATCCTTTGTTCTCTTAGGTTTCAAGCCCTAAACCACCATTTTTGACCTTATTTCCTTAAGTTTTCAGCCTAATTTCATGTATTTGCATGATAAAAATTGTGTTCTAAGTCCAAGAATGCTTACCTGATCGAAGACCTTGAATTTCCTCTTCAAAATCGCTCAAGAACACCCCAAGTCCGAAGTTGATATATGTATTCTGTAAATATTTCGCGAAGGGAATTAAAACCCTTTCTGATCAGTTATTTCCGCTTCTGCGGTCCTTTGTCGCTTCTGCGACTACCGCATCTGCGGTAATTTTTCTGTTTCTGCGGAATTTCATTTAAAATCCAAGGCCGCTTCTGCGACATAATGTCCGCTTCTGCGGAACTAACTCTCCAGCACAAAAACCGCTTCTGCGTTCGCCTGTCCGCTTCTGCGGACTCGCTTAAGCGGAAAATGTTCCGCTTCTGCGAAACTACCTTACTAGGCCATAAGCCGCTTTTGCGACCCTCCTCACGCTTCTGCGGAACCGCTTCTGCGGTCCGTTTCCGCAGAAGCGAAAATACCAGATATCAGATATGAACCTGCAATCTCCAACTAAAATTTTCATCCCGTTAGCCATCCGAAATCACCCCGAGGCCCCCGGGACCTCAATCAAAGACACCAACATGATCCAACAAATATAGAAAAACAAGTATGAAAAATCTAAAAACCAGAAATAAGAGATGACAACAAATTTGTTCTTTTATTTCATTTTTGTTGAGTATAAAAAATTTGGAAGTTGATCCCATCGATTTCAAATATTTTTTATAACTCAAATACATAGATTATAAGATAAGAATATCTTAGAATTTTTTTTTAATTTACATTGTGTGTCGTTTTCAAAAAATCACTATTACAAACAAACTGAGATATGATATTTGAATTTGAATTTAAATGTCATTTGAGTAGTTTGTATTGAGGTTAAGCCAAGTATAGTATCGAGAAAAAATAACTTGGCAATTTTAACACAATATATGCAATATTATATAATAATAATAATCAACTAATTTAACATTTAATGATTCAAAAAACAAAAAAATGTATACATATGATATTCAAAATTCAAAATATGTGGCTAGCGATATCGATAAATTCAAAATGGAGTCATACTGAAATAGTTTCACCTGCTAAAGAATTATTTAAATTTTTAGATAGCAAATTGTGACGACCCAACCCGTCGTCTCATGTATTACAG